GGTTGGGGAGGGCTTGGGGCAGGAGGTGGGCAGGAAGGACTGCTAATGAATCGGGGTTTCTTGATGGGGTGAGGAAAATGGTCTAAAATCGACGGTGCTGATGACTATACAACTCCGCGAATATACAGAAAACCACTGCCTTATACATCTTAAATGGGTGATTTGTACAGTATGTAAATCATATCTCAATAAAGCTGTTATAAAAAATGAGGTTCAGAAAAAGCCTTCAACAAATCACAACTTTAGTTACATACATGTATTAAAAACAAAAAAAAGACTGGGGCTCAGGGAAGAGTTGGTATTAAACTCATTCAGCTTTCTGAGGTACTAAAGGAAGGACACCTATTCCAGGGTAAAGACAAAGGTGCTGACTGTAGCATATAAAAAAATCTCAAATCCAACAAGGCACTGAGAGAACCTCTGTGGCCAAGACTGATCAAGATAAAAAATAAAAGAGAATGAAAAAAAGTGCATATATCTAAGGATGGGAAACACTGATAGATTATTTAAAGGGAATCACCTTATCAAAGAGCCCAGAGCCCATCATGGCACACCAGCTGCCCTGCCCATGGTCAGAAAAAGGAGGAGGAAAGGGTCCCGGAGGGGGATGCCAAAATAGGAACCTTGACCATGACTCTGTCTAAGCCAGTCCTGGCTGAGCAGAGACTAGCAACGGTCACTCAGGTCTTCACCCTGGGTCTACCTACAGGCTACTTCTTATCTTCAGGTGTCTCCCTCCTCTGCTGGCAGAGGAACCAAGGAAAAGAAAACAAACAAATGTCAACATAATGAGATGGAGCAGACCTTGACCAGACCAGTGAGTTCCCAGACTCTTCCTCTCTCCCTTGGCCAAAGGTATCAGGGGAGCCTACAACAGTCTAGTCTAAGCCAGTAAGTAGCAAATAGAAAAAAGTAGCTAGTGCCTGAGCATTTACCATGGGCCAGGCACTGTGCTTAATGTTTCCTATGCATTACCTTATTTAATTTCTACAACCTTATGAGAAGGGCGCAATTACTATGCCTATTTTAGAGATGAGGAAAATGACACTGAAGAGATTAAGTCATTTACTGAAGTGACCTTGGGCAAGGCAAACGTCAAAGACATGACAGCCCACTGGGTCAGAATCCCAAAACCAGGCTCTTAACCACACGCAATTAACAAAAATCATAGTTTAGCCAAAAATTGTGATGTAATTACATTAAGAGGATGGGAAAAGAAAAAGAGAGGGTGTAAGGGGTGGGAGTATAAACTTTCCTATAATGCCTACAGCAGGAAATCAACAGATGCCTAAAACCGATAGTTCAATAAATATCATTATAAGCATATTATTTAGAAACATGCGGTAAACACCAGACAACAAAGTTAAAAGTGTTGAAAGTGGTTATTTCCATAGAGAGGGCTTGAGGCAGGGAACTCCTTGCTATTTTTCTTTTAAAAGCCTTTTGCTATTAGAGCTTTATGAAATTATGCCTATTTTTTTCCTTTGAAAAAAGTGATTTTAAAAGGAAAAGGAAAAAAATCAGAGATACGGCCACCAAAGTCTAAGGCAGTGAACATCTGCTGCTTTTGCCACACAGCTTCCGTCCTCCACTGACAAAAGCACTTGGGTTTTGCTCTGGAGAATCTCCCTCCTTCACTGGTTAACTTGATGGGCCTGTCATCAAGGGACCCCATTCCCCAACCAAGAGGGTCAGGGGGCCAATGGCACCCTCCTCCTGGAATCTTGAGCAGAATGGCAAAAAGACCTAAAACAGCTGGAAGCAATTGACCTAAAAGTAGAAACCCTCCATCAGTTCCTCCCACCCACGCAGGCCCCAGAGCTCCCTTGGTTCAGACTTTTTAAGCTTTCCCTTAAATTCCTTCAGCTGTCCGTTTCCTTCTATTAAATTCCTCTCCTGCTTAAGTTAGGTGGAGTCACTCTGCTGCCCACACCCAAAGGAACTTAAAGGAAATATCTAATGTTTGAGGTTGACTTGTGCTTCTATTTGCAAGTATAACTATAGTTGTTTGCAAACTTTTAACCTAAAATATACATTTTACATCACAATCCAGTACTCACACATATGTACACACACACATAATAAGTATATATATATAGAACTGAAACAAAAGTTCTGCCAAAAATGTCTACCCTAACACTCTGAGAGTGTTCATTCTATTCCTTTTTTTTAAGAGCAGTTTTAGGGTTTACAACAAAATCAGTGGGAAGGTACAGAGATTTCCCATATTTCTCCTGCACCCATGCATGCACACACTCCCTTATTATCAACATCATTCACCAGAGTGGTACTTTTTTTTTTTTTTTTTACCAAGGATGAACCTACATTGACACATCATAATCACCCAAAGTTGGTATTTCCCTTTAGGGTTCAACTCTAAGAAACTGAATGGTGTTACACATTCTATGGGTTTGGACCAAAGTATAAATACACATTATCCATCATTACATCAGAGTATTTTCATTGCCCTAAAAAGTCCTGTGTTCTATCCATTATTCACCCCCTCATCCCCAAAACTCCTGACAACTACTGATCTTTTCATTGTCTCCATAGTTTGGTTTTTGCCATAATCTTATACAGTTTAAATCTATTTCTTTTCTAACACTGGTTCTAACCCACCAAGTTGATTTCAGTCCTGCTGGTGGTTATGATCTGCAGTTTGAAACATACTGGTTCCTGATACCTGCTGTATCTGCCTCCAACAATTAAAAACAACCCAGAGAGTATACGAGCCATATTTCCATGTCCATGTGTGGTACACTAAGGCGCATGTCCTGGCTGCTGGGGAAACACCAACAGAGTCCCAGGGTCCCGACTCCCACTGGAACACAGATTGACTAAAACATCTACACTGCTAACATCAGAAGAAATGTGTGTTTATTTACCCACTCATTTGCTCATGCGCTGAGCACTCATTCAATGGTGTGAATATATGATAGTTCCTGGGGACTGTCCAGAGCCATAAATTCTGTCTGCAGGCTGGCTCAGAGGAGAGGAATCTGGGACAAAGCCTGTATCATGATGGAGTGAATGTTTACCATCTTCTTCCTCTTAAGAGCTCAGGAATGTCTCCAAGATCAGATCTGAGCAATGATTATTTCATTCCCACCTTTGAAGTAAAATAACTCTCAAGTCCAGCCTAGGAAGAAGGAATACAAGTGATATTCTGTCTCCTTTGTTCTACAGGTCTCTTGTTAGCTTCAAACTATGGTTAGAATTCCTTGCTGAGGATTTTACTACCAACTTCCTACCCCACTGGACAAGCAGCAAAACATCAAGGGATGAAAGAGGGTGTCAATTCATTCAAATTCATCTTAACACCAATGTCTTGGTCTTAAGACCTTTCTGGATCTCTTCCTACAGTAAGCAAAAAGAAGCACAAATGCCCCTCTCCTGTATTTTCCTCATACCCATTGCACTGCCTCAACCATTCCAAAACAGTGAGCAACCATATCAAAACAGTGAGCAAGAGCATGGTGTAGGACTTGGGCCTGACACAATAGGGCATGGATTTTTACGATCTCTACAGCATCCCATAGCCGGGGAGTGGCAGGCCACAGAGGCTAGGGACTAGGGGACTGGGATTGGGCAGGAGCAAAACCTATATTGTAAGGTGGAAGAAACACTCATCACCTGAATGGAGAGGGGACTGTGAACAGTGGTCATCTCTACCTAACTTGAAGTGAGAAACAATTCTATAAATATCTTTTTTAATCCTCACCCTAGGACATTTTTTTAATGCTTTTAGAAACAGAAGAAGGCGGAGCGAGAAAGAAACATCTATGGGAGAAACATCAATCGACTGCCCTCTCATAGGCGCCCCTACCGGTCCACGGGAGGACGCTTCAACGAACAGGCCAGGGCTCTGCAGGCAGTCTTGGAAGAAGGGCCAACCTAGGTGCAGTTGGCTTAGCTTCCTCAGGGGCTTGCTGAGACAGGAAAAGGGGAAGGGAATCACATGCAGAGTGGAGGGAGGAATACAAACTCCGCATCATCTTGGCTCCCATTCCACTCTCACCCACAACAGCTTGGAAATCGATGAAATAGTACACACACCATTCTGGGTTAAGTTACCTAGCAGAGCCTAGAAACCCTCAGCCACAAATTACCTTCTTCTGCCTCTCCGAGGGGAAAAACCAAAAGTTAGGCTAAGGTGGGAGAAGGGCACGGACTGGAAGCAGGGAGTGAGGGGAGCAGGGCAGATCGGTTAGCACCGGAGAACTCCCCTCTCTCCCCCATCCTCAGTCCGTCCACAAATCCTGGCGTGGGTCACTTTCCTTCCCTTCTCATCCCAGGTTCTGGCATCTCCTTTCTGGGGGATTGGATGCTGGAAGCGGAAGCAAAACCAACAAACGGTCCCAGGAAGCTATCAGCGGGCCGGCAGGGGGAAGGGAGCACGAGAACTGGAAGGGGGAAGGAGAAATCAGAGTAGAGAGGAGACCTCCCAGGAGACAGCTCTGTCCCCCCCGGCCAATCTCGGCGTACTTGGAGTGCCACTCGCCCCCATCCACCAGTCCAAGCCCTAGGATTTCACTCTCTACCCTTTGTCTTGTTACTGATTACCCAAAGTACCGAGAAGTTCTTTGAAGGGCTGCTGAAATCACCATGACCTACAGAAAAGCCTAAGCCCCTTCGTCGGGACCCAGAGTCCCAAAGAGCCGCAGGGATCTCGTCCCTGGAGCTCAATCTCCTACAGCAGAATCTACGGCCCACAGGACACCCGCGCCGAGTCCTGGCAGGAGCCGCAGTGTCCTCCCCAAGAGCAGGAACGCCTGGAGTCCCCGAGCCTCAGAAAAATCCTATCCCGCGACTGCCCAAGAACCCCACTGCCCGTCGCGGGGCGGGAGAAAAGAGTAAGGAAGCGCTGCAAGGAACTGACCCAACCGAGCGCAGCACCAGGTGATGTCAGCGAACTCGCTGCGGGGCGTCAGAACGGCGGAATTGGTAAAGAATATACAGAGTTGGGGAGGCAGTGAGGTGATGAGGCCGCTTTTTCTTACCGTGGTCTGGCCCTCCGGGTGCACGTCCACCAAGGTACACCAGCCCCGTGTCCCGTTCATCTTCTTCCCGTATGCGTAGCAAAACCGAGCCCGCGGTTCAGCTGCGCGGCTCCGAAGCGGTTGGGGGTAGGGGGAGTGCGCGGAGCCGCCTCTTGTATAGGTGCGTCAGGGGCGGGGACCGGCCACGGGACACGCCCTAAGGGGGGACGCTCAACGTCTGGAGCGAAAATGAGAGGTGGGCGTGGCCTAGAGGCTTCGGGGCACGCCCATCAGCTCTAGCTCAGATTTACATAAAGGTGGGGGCTTGGGTTCTACCAGAGGATACTTTATTCAAGTTTTGTCAGTCTCAGTCTGGTTGTTTCTCAAACATTCTTAGTTTTGCTGTGTCCTCCTTTCAACTCCAGGATGTGTTGGTAAGAGAGAATCACCTTGCCTAGGCATACATAATATGTTGGAAAGAGAGCTTCCAGACATTCTCCTGTCCCAACTTATAGGCCAGTCTGTAGGCTTTGCGAAGCTGAGCAAATTTCCTCCACCGTAGAAACGCAGGCACCAAGGGCAAGCTCACTCAGACTGGCCTAAGCCAGTCTGGCAGGTGCCTTTTCCTGGCAGAAGGCCCAGGCCAAAGTCAAAGCCAGCTTGGCTCTGGGTGGGGCTTGTTTGGCAGAAGCGATTATACCAACGCTGCCTTTATATGGTTGGGAGAGGTGGGACACTTGTCCTTAAAAGGAATTTGTATTCTTGTAAAAGGATGAGCCTCAATTCCTCCAGTGGCATTTTCTCCCCAACCCCAGGTTAGCAACTAAGAGTCTGAAAGAGGATGGCCAAGCAAGACCTTGGAGCCTCTTCCCAGCCCAGCTGCTTTGTGCAAGTGGCTGTTCCCCTGGGTTGTGGTCCACATGGAAGGTAGGCAGGAGGAGGTCTGACACTCTTGAGTGGGCAGTGCCCCTGAATCCAACACTAGGCTCTGGTGAACAGCTAGCTTCCTCTTCAAGGCAACACAAGGGCAAGGATGACAGAAACTTCCCTTCCTCCTAGGTAGTGATTGGGTCCCGTGCCAGGGAGGAAAGGATGTGTTTTTGTACCTGGGAGGTGAATGCTGGGGATATCCCTATGCCCCAAAGGAATAAAACCCAGTTCTGGTGTTTCCTCTCATCCTCAAAGAAGGCATTTACTGGCCCTGCTATTCCCAAAAGCTTGTTTAGGAGAAAATGGAAGTGTATAAACACTTCCCAGGTCCCTAGGTTCCATCTGATCTGCTGTAAAGGGCTTCTAAAAGGTGAATAAAGAAAACCCCAGCTTTGGCCTCTAAGTTGTGCACTTTAAATGGTTTCTTCATACTCTGTGGACTTCCCAGTAAGTTAGGAAAAAGAATGAAAAAACAAGCCAAGGATTTCAGTATAGATATAACTTTAATATTTAATTTAAAATAAAAATCAAGGCTGGATTGGTTTAGGAGAAAATATCTGATTTGCAGAGAATTTTTTTAAATCACAAAATCACAAGTCATTGGTGAGAACAGCCTTCTTCCCCCAGGCTCCTCAGAGAGCCCGCTTAAGAAATGAGGTGAATCATCTCCCTCACATGCTCCCCACCAGGGCTTGGCTCTCCCAAAAACCCAAAGGAGGAATGAAGCCTCCCTTGCCTCTTCCCAATTCTACCAAGAGTCAGCCACTAGCCCCGATTAGAAAGCCCTGTATCGGGTCCAAGCGTCTGAAATGAGGGTCCTTCGGTTCCCCATTGAGGATGGGCACATCTGGTCAGAGAAGTCACAAGAAAGGATATACAGAGAGGGACTAAAATCTTTGCTTTTCTTTTTCTTCTTTTGAAGACTTTATTTATTTATTTTTTGAGAGAGGGGAAGGGAGGAAGAAAGAGAAGGAAACATCGATGTGTGAGAGAAACATTGGTTGGCTGCCTCTCACACACCCCCAGCTGGGGGCCTGGCCCACAAACCAGGCATGTGCCCTGACTGGGAATTGAACCAGCAACATTTCAATTTGCGAGATGATGCCCAACTCACTGAGCCACACCAGTCAGGGCTGAAATTTTTGCTTTTCGACTTGTGTAGATAGTTGTCAGTGTTCCCAGATCCAACCACCTTATAAACATATCCATAGTCACAGAGGAAGAGGAGGAAGGTTGGAAACCCTGAGCAGAACCAGGCCGCCCACCTCATCGTGGCACTACCAAAGGCCAGCTCCCAGGGGCTCATCAGCCGAGAAGCCAGTAGCTCTCTCAACCAGTCACTAGGGCCACAGGAAGGGCTGAGGGCCCCGGACAGGAAAAGGCTGGTCCCTGGAGAGGTATGAATGTGTGGGTACAAAAGGCAAGAACATCCTTATTCCTCACCATGGCTAAGGCAGAGAGGAAATAAGGAATTTAGGAATGGGAAAGATGGAAAGGAGAGGAGGAAGGGTCTCCTGGATCCACTTGCTTGAAGAAGACAAAAAATAGGACTGAAGGGGAGTGGGGACAACCACAGGGGTCCCATGACTGTGCAAAGAGGAGCATCGAGGAGCAGGTAGAGCCACGCCAGCGTGTCCATTCCCATAATGTTCCCCTCACCCTGCTCCAGAGTGGGAGGAAAGCAGGTTGCAGGAGTTAAGGGAGCAGAATCATCTAGGGTACTTCCCTGAGCCCAAGGGTTAAGGACTAAAGAAATAAAGCTTTACATACATGGCAATTTCCTCCCTTGCTGCCCTGCTCAATCCCCCTCGGCCTATATACTGACCAGTCTGCTGCTGTGAGGGAGAAGGAGGCCTCAGCACTTACGTGCTCAAAGTACCTAAAGTACCCACTCCTCCAGAGGAAAAGGAAAGCCCGTCTACCGCCTTAGAGCTGATACACTCTTTATCACCACCACTCACACCCCTCCCTGTCCCAGGTCTGAATGATTTGGTCCCCCACGGGAATGGGGAATCTGAGGCAGAGCAGAGCAGGACCGGCCAGGACAGGCCTCAAGCTGTGGTTTCTAGGCCCTTGTGGACCACAAGCTAACAGGAGCTGGTCTGCAGGTTGCTCTCCGTAAGCAGTGATGCGATGGAGGAAGGATCGTACACACGGTCGAATTCCTCATCTGAGCTCAGCCCTTCGTGTTGAAGGGTTGACTCAGCAGCTGAGCGGGAAGCTTTGCGCCTGAGTCAGAGAAAGGAATACTAGTGATGGAGGTAGAAAAATTGAGACAGCCACCCTTTTCATGCTAAAGTGACTTCCAATTCTTCTAAGACCTAAAGCTACTCCCAAGATACTGCCCCCGCCCCCAATCAGATTCCGGGAGGTGAGGTATAGAATAGGGGCTGAGATGCTAAAAGGTAATCAACCATAGTAGCTTCCAGCTAGGAAAAAGTAATTTTGAAGTCCCATCTGAAAGATTCTCCTCCCCATAAATATCAGCCAGGATCGCCTATCCCTTTTCTGCTCCACTATGCCGACAAGGTAGGGGCAGAAAAACAGCCCATACCAGGAGTCCTTCTCCAGAGCTTTGATCCGGGCCTGGAGCTGTTCATTGACCTCATGCTGCTCCTCCAGCTCACGCTGGGCCTTCTTCCTCAGGCTGTCCAGTCGCTCAATCTCCTCTTCTGCTTCATCCACCTGCCGCTTCAAAGCCTTCACCCTCAGGCTTAGCTGGGCAGGATATCAAGTCCCCACATGAGAAAAGCATATGCTGCCACCAGAGTCTGGGACCTTCCCCTGTAGCAACCTTGACAAAGGATTACTGCCCCTAGAAAAATGTGGAGCATGGGCAAGTTCCCTAACCTCACAGGTTTGTCCTGGGGATTAAATGAGTTAATACATGTGTAACACTTAAAAAAGAGAAGCTAGCCCATCATAGGTACTCAATACATGTGCTTCCTATGACTCCTCTAATCCAGTCCTTTCAGTCAAGTCTCTATCCTTACACAAGGAAAGTTTAAGTCTGCAAGACCTATGAGATGGGGCCAACCTTGGCCTTCAAGCAAGTGCAGTATGTACTGGCCAGATGGTTGCTTGGGCCCAGCTGTGGTCCTTACCTGGTCTTTCTGGTCATTGACATGCTGCCGCTCATCATCAATTTGGATGGACAGCTCTTTAACCCTCCGCTCCAGTTTTCGGTTGGTGGACTGCAGAACCGTCTTCTCCCTAAGATGGTGGAATAGGGGCATGTCTGTGGCTGCCATCATTTCTAAAGGGAGCCCTACGTGGTTCCCTAGTGCGTTCAAAAACTCTTAGTCATGAGGCACACAGTTAGACTGGGAAGGATCCAGGGCAAGTCCAAAGAACCAGGGAGGTTGATATCACTCATATTTTAGAATTTCTGTAACTCTCACTCTGCTCTCTATCAAGAGAGTTCTCCCAAAAGATTGGCCGAGTCTGAGGCAGACAATGGAGGGTGCCCCCGAGGCGGAAAGCCCAGGGACAAAGAGGAAATATGGGCTCATCTCACCTCTCTTCAGCCTGTAGCCGCTCCTGCAACTCCCGATTCTGGGATTCAAGCTGAGAGAGGCTGCTGTTGGGCTTCTGGAAGCCTTCTGAGCTGGCCAACCGGCCCTTCAAGTCCTTGTTCTGAGAGGGACAGGAAGCCTCCACAGTTAGCACTCTTCTTCTGATCTCTTCCGCAGTCTTTCTCTCCGTCTCCTGTGATCAACCCCCAAGACTCCCCACTGCTTCCCCTCACCTGTCTCTCCAGGGAGATTTTGTCACATTCCAGGTCCTGCCGAGCAGACCTCTCCTGCATGAGCTCTGTCCGAAGCTGGTCTACCTAGCGGATGGGTGAGAGGAATAAACCATCAAGCTGAACCCAGTGAGGCAGCGTAACTATAGGATGCTTTCTGAACCCTGAAACCCAAAAGTTCCCAGGTGACTAAGAAATCACGGCCTATTATTCACACAGGAGGAGCCGCAGAATTTACATAGGGTCTCTTCAGTCCCACCAGGAATTAACATCTGTCCTGAATGGAAGCAGCCTGGACTCAGGTCAGAGAGTAGCCCAGGCCACCAGGATTGCCTCCTCCACTCAAATTCCTGGTTTCTCTCCACCTGAGGAAAACTGCCAACCTTTCCTGAAGCAGGGGAGACCCTGAAGCAAAGCCAGCCATGCACAGGTCTGCAGCCAGAACTCCCTAGACTATGAAAGAGGGAG